GTATTTGACACAGCGTCTTAGTCTCTAGTCTGTGAACCCACAAAGCTCCAAGTTAAATATTGACTCTCTCCAGCCTTGGTATTGGCCATGCACCACACATTCAAACCCCAACGCAGCCCTCCAGATGGCTTAAGGGCTGGGGTGACCAGAGTGGTAAATGCAGATAAGCTATCAACTCTGGGCTCAGAGCATGGCAAGGACTTCAGAAACTCTCTCTTCAAGTGTGTTCCTTCCCCTGCTGCCTTCTCAATGGGAGGGTCTTACAGGGGATTCTCAGCTGCTGGAGCTGGTCCTGTTGGCCCGCACCTGTCTCAACAGAGAGACGTCTGCTTCCTATCAAGTCATGGCCCCATCCTGGGAGTGTCATTCAGCCTGTTTATTGGAACCAAGGAATGATACGGCCCCTGCTTCTGCCCCTCAGTGGAAAGGAACACGCAGCCAGGCGGCCTCCCGTCTCAGACTTGGGGGCTAAGTGGGCCCACGGGGCTCCTCGTGAGCTTCCACGGCATCCTTCTGCTTCTCCGAAGTTGAAACACAAACAGTTGTTTGCATGGCGCTTGCTTGGCTCATTTCCAGACTGAAACTTCCCTAAACTTAGATGAGAGATAGGAACCAAAAAGTAAACCACGTGGAATTGTTCACATCTAACCCGGGAGAGGTGGAGGGGCGGCCTTCTCTCTCCACCGAGAGTTTACAGAGGGCACACCTGGGAACCCGACAGGTGCCAGGACAGACTCGGGCTCCCTGCACACCTGTGCCCCCTCCCGTGGCCGTTTCCCTGCTCCCAACATGGTTTGTTCCAGGCCTTTCTCTCAAAGATGCCAGCTATTACAGAGCTCCCACCACCTGTCAGACCTGGGGGTGGAGATGCCTACAGACTCCTGGGTACTTGAATTACTCTGATCCCCCAGATGGCTCCAGCACCCACTCTGCCCTTCTCCGGGGTGTGAGCTGCTGAAAGCTGCCCAGTGACGGGGAGGCCCAACCAGAATCTGTGGAGTCTATGTCTTTACTCTTTATACTAGGACAGTGATGGCGAACCTTTTGAGCTCGGCGTGTCAGCATTTTGAAAAACCCTAACTTAACTCTGGTGCCATGTCACATATAGAAATTTTTTGATATTTGCAGCCATAGTAAAACAAAGACTTATATTTTTGATATTTATTTTATATATTTAAATGCCATTTAACAAAGAAAAATCAACCAAAAAAATGAGTTCACGTGTCACCTCTGACACGC